GTCATGAGTTAGATGCAAATCTGGGCTAAGTGGGTTACAGTCAAGCTTGAGCTGTAGAGTAGGACACTGTATCATAAATAAAAGCATTTTTTTAGTTTTTAATGCTTGGAACTTTAAAATACTCTATTAAATATACCATTTATCTCATTGTTGCCACTGTTTAAATTGTATTTATAAGTTGGAGGATCGTTTACTATATGTAGAAATGCAACTGTTCTCTTGGTATCTTTTATCTTGTCTCCTTCCTGAATTTGTTAACTGACAGCTCTTGCGGGATTTTACAGTTTTCTGTAAATGTAAAAATCATGCTATCCATAAACAGAGACAATTTTGCATTTTCCTTTCAAATTTGTAGTCCTTTTTGAGGCCTCTCATTTGTGTTCATTTTTCTCTTTAATCGAAATGATCATATTTAGTATTCTCTTAGGGGTGATTTGGTAGACTTGAATTTATATAGTCTTTTTATAGCATGGAAGCTTTCTTTCTCCTTTAACCATGGTTTAAATGTTTGCACATTTTTCTATATTATTCAGCTGTAAAGCTGTTTACTTGAAAACTTTCCTTTTATATCATAATGTAGGTGTTTGTCACTAACACCTTTTCTTTTAGAGCCCTTTGTCTTGTATGCCAACCATTTGACTTGTTCTTCCATTTCACCTGTTTCAAGGTATTTTCTGTTTTAAATTTATTTACCCATTTATTGCTTAGAAATTAGTTTACTAGTTTTCATGCATTTGTGAATATTTCAACTCTCTTCTTACATAATTGCTTTTTGAAAAAGGAGATTTTATTTCATCTTTTTCCTTTTTGATACTTTCCTTTCCTTTTTAAAAGAGATTGTGTTTCATTTTTATTTGTGTATTCCTGTACTTTCAGAGGCAAGGAGAAGGCATGGGTTCCCTTGGAGCTGGAGTGGCAGGCTGTTGCTAGCTGCCTAATGTAAGGGCTTGGACATGGACTCCAGCATTGTGCAAGAGCAGCAAGCATGTTTACCCACTGAGCTATCTCTTTAGCCTTCCTTTCAATAATGTCTAATTTCACAACAGCATTCAGAGAAAAAGTGTTGTAGGGTCTGAGTCTTGTTTCATTGTCACACACATGTTCCTTCCTGGAGGCTGTTGTGTGTTCTTAAGAAGGCTGAACATTCTGTTGTCATGGTAGTTCAATGTCCTAAAGCGTCACTCAAGTCTGGTGTTTCTTCACTTTGTTCGTGGTTGAAAGAAAGGGACTGAATTCCTCAATTGCTATTTCATAGTCATCCCTGCACTTATGAAGGTGCCGAGTTCCTGCACTGTTATGTCATAGTCAGTCTACCCCTTATGAAGGTACTGAGTTCCTCCATTATGTCATTGTCAGCCCACCACTTATAAAGGTTCCGAATTCCTCCATTGCCATTCCATGGTCAGCCCACCACTTATGCAAGTTTTACATTCGTAGATTGAACCACAATAGATAAAAAAAAACATGTAAAATTTTAAGTTTGAACCAAACACATGGACAATGGTTTGTGAAGCATTTAGCTTTTTTCTTTATTTTTGTGTTTTGTTTGTTTTACATTCCAATCACAGTTTCCCTTTCTTCCTCTTCTTTCACAGCCTCCCTTTCACACGTCTTGCCCCAGCCCCATCTTCTCCTCCTCCATTTCTTTTCAGAAAAGGATGGACTATGTTTTAAGACAGTCTTACTATGTACCCTTGACTGGTCTGGACCTTACAATGTAGACCAGGCTGGCCTTGAACTCACAGAGATATGCCTACATCTTCTCCCCAAAACATGCACCACCCACTCTCAATCTGCCTAACAATTAAACTGTATAAAGCAGTGCCAGTAATTTATAGGTGGTTTAAAGCATTTGGAAGGATTTCACATTAGTGACCTGAACTCCTATACATCTGGTACCCATGAGGGACCTAGACCTCAAGTCTCCATCAAATCAGTCCTATTGCTGTCTGCCATTCTCTTCAGCTATATTACTACTTCCTTTATATCTTTAGGTACTGTGTTGAACATGTGTATACTTAAAGTCATTATATCATTTTGATAATTAATTCCTTTATAATGTTATATTGATTTTTGTGGCAATACTATTATGTATAATACAGATAAAGCCACATTTTTTGCTTATCAATTGCTTATTTTTAGACATATTCATTTTTCTGCATGCATTCATTTATTCTTTATAGAAATCTTTCATGGATAGATGGCTTATATATGGATTTTATCTTTATTTTTACCATTCAGCCCTCTGTGGTTTTTGGTTGGAGAACTTAGTCCATTTTCATTTAGAATAATTCTTTATGAGTAAGGATTTACTCTGGATTTTTTATTTGTTTCCAACTGTCATATAATATAAAGATCCTTCCTCATAAACCATCTTCATTTATGACTTGATAACTTTTGAAGTCAAGTCTTGGTTCTTATCAACTGTCTATTTGCTATGGGATATTTTTTTGTTCCTAAGCAGCTTACACAGAATATTTCAAAGTTATACTATTTTAAGTTAATACAACTCAATTTTGGTTACATGTAAAACAATGTATTCTGGAGTGTGAGGGTAAGATGGTCATTGAGGTCCAGTTCTAAACTGGGCTCACATGATCACTTCCCTCTCCTTCAGCCATGCATAGGATCTCCTTTTCTAAGTTCTGATACATGGATTTGAGGAATAGTTGTAACATGGCAGCATGAAATTGCTGTTCCTACCTTCCTCATTTAGTTTCTTCCTAGATCTGTGTCTTATCCACATGGTATTCTCTTATACTAGTACAGTAGTCTTGAATGGCGGCCTCTTGTTTAAACAAGTATAGTTTTCCATGATGAGATGATTCTGGGCACTCTTCTTTCTCTTCGTTGGTGATATCTCTGTTAAAAATCCTGGGGGGCTTGGCTTGGAAGAGATCAGGAAAGGAGTAGAGATGGTGGGTGTTTAAGAAATAAAAGATGTGGCCGGGCGGTGGTGGCACACGCCTTTAATCCCAGCACTCGGGAGGCAGAGGCAGGCAGATCTCTTTGAATTCGAGACCAGCCTGGTCTACAGAGCTAGTTCCAGGACAGGCTCCAAAGCCACAGAGAAACCCTGTCTCAAAAAACAAAAAAACAAAAAAACAAAAAAACAAAAAAAACAAAAAACAACAACAACAAAAAAAAAAACCTTCCATGGGTCTTCACTTCATATGCCTGAGCAGCTGTTGTGGTCTGTGTGTTTTTTCCTGGGGGACCACCTATCCTACTCCTAGTTTTCTTCAGTTGCCTATAGTTATTCATGTAGGGTACAGGCCTCCTGGTACGTTCTCCATGTAGTTTAGCATGTTCATTGGTGTTATCTTGTTCAGCCCATGTTTGGGCAGTCATGTTGGTGAGACTTAATGAGTATAGCTTCTGATGTTACTGGAGGAGATACAATCTCACAACAAAGTCCTGATTTTCTGACTAGTATAGTCTTTCCACCTCCTTTCCTTCAATGTTGTCTTAGGAGTGTTCTGTAGATATGTTTATTAGAACTGGGATTCACAACTTTTCATTTTGATGGGTTGTGGGTTTTTGTAATAGATTCCATGTGTTGAAAAAAGAAGTTTCCTTGATGAAGAGTTCAGACTACATTTATCTGTGAGTATAAGGATAAATGTTTAAATTGTTGTCAAGATTGTGCAGGTGTAGTAAGTTAGTGGTTGTAAATTTTCCTCCAGTAGCCATGACTTCACTAGCATTGAGTAGTTAGTTAGGTTTCCAGTATCAGGCACAATTTACTTTTTGTTGAGCAAGTCTTAGAGAGCCGTTTCATACTTTTTTTTTTTATTTGTAAGGGTCAATGGGGACTACTGATTAAGGCATCAAATCAAAAGCATGAGCTTTGCAGTATTGGGTTTTAGCGTGTGCTGCTTCGTCCATGATATGCTCCTTCTGTGGCATGGAGCAGCAAAACTCACCTCTGTGTGAGCAAGCGAATAGGTACACACGTTCTTTCAATGATAGATTGGCTACACATTTTCTTTTCCTTTACACTAACTCAAAATACATCAGTGTTTGTAATAGTCAGGCAAACACCTAAGAAATGATCCCAAAGGTATGCATCAAATTTATAGCTCAGTTGTTCTTCCTACTGACATCATCATCTGTTTTGTAGAACATTCATTTGTTTTGTAGAACTCTTGGGAAAAATGAGTTGCTGGCATCAGACTTCCAGTAGCACCGTGAGTCAGCACTAGCTTTCATAGAGAAAGGCCTAGAATCTACATTTTTACAACACAGAGTTGTCTGCTTTGGTGAAACACTTTCATAAAAATCTTAATGTTAAGCAAGTCATCATAACAGGAGTATCAATTTCTGCCTTAAAACAAGATCATAGTTCTAAACATAAGGTTTGTATAGAGTGTAGGAAATACTACTCTGGCAATATGAGCTATTCTAGACCTAAATTATGAAAGTTGCATAAAATAAATAAGCTAGGTGGCCCAAGCTCATTCCCAAGTGTGTCATTTTTTGTGGAGAGGATAATTAACTGCTACAGTATATATATGAATTTTATGCTTATTCTCTTAATATATTTTAAAGCAATAATGCGGAAATGATCAGTATGCAGAATCCAAAGTTCATTGCCTCTCATTGGGGCTAAATTTTAAGATGTATGGATGAAATGAGCCAAAATTTAATCTTGCTATGCGTGAGTTTAAAGAGCAATATTCAATATGCTGAAAATCCATAAGAATCTCTGCATATTGCAATTATTTTCCTAAAAGAAATGCAGAAACAAAAAGCACATATCTACCCAGATGCAGCCAATGCTTTGTCTTTCACGTGACATTTCTGGCTGTTGTTAAGAGTCACCTGATCAAGCTGGAAAGATATTTCTTGAAATGATGCATGGTTTGCCGTGCATGCCTTCATTGTGCTTACCGCCATTATGGAATAACGCGTCTTATTGGGAAAGACAATGATTATGTCTGGGGACTCTTGCTCAGTCAGCTCCTACAATAACACTGATGTTTTGTGAATCATTTCAGATTTCAGAGAGCTACGCCTTCCTACCAAGAGAAGCGGTGACAAGGTTTCTAATGAGCTGTTCCGAGTGTCAGAAAAGAATGCACTTGAACCCAGATGGAACCGACCACAAAGGTAGCCACAGTGCCCAATAGTGAGATTTGAAGTCAATTTTTCTTCATATGGTCAATTTATGCCTTACGTTTTATAAAAATGTGGAAGAACGAAACAGTTCAACAAGTCATAACATCTCATTTCTTCACGTTGTGAGCAGTGGATCCTGTGTACCTACTTACGAAATAATTCAGCATCCACTCCTAGAAGGAAATTTCAACAGTACAAGTATTATTTTTATAACACTGTTTTAATTTCCACCATGGTACTACTTTTTGGTATTTTAGATATATTCAGCAAGAAAGTTCAATACTATAAATAACTTTTCCAGTCTATAGAATACCTTTTTTGAAAAAAAATTATAGACTACATAAAATGCCCTCAATTAAAATTTTTATATAAACATAACTTGACTTTTCTATTTATTGAATTATATAGATAATTTTGTTAAGCATTAAAATATTTCTCAATAATCAGATTAATCTTATAGGCACATTTAAAATCCTTCTATGTGGTAGAAGATAGCCTAACTCCTAAATAAAAGAAAAAAATAAAAAGCAAATTTCTTTTATATCCCAGTAATACACACACACACACACACACACACAAACAACTATTCACTGAAATACTTTTTTAAGCACTTAATCAGCATGTTAGTTTTATTTATTGTTATTCAGGATATTTAAAGTTACTCTACAGTAAGGAATAGCGGATTTGTCCAGTCTGTTGATTTGGGCCAACATAGTTTGTAGAAATTTGCATGTTATATTTTGTACCGTTCATCTATAGTGCTTTCAAGTTTTTTAATCATTAATTACTGAAGACTATATTTTAATTAGATGCACTTATTCACCCTGAAGTTGCAGCTGGAACACAGTGTCACATTCATCATGGACTTAAAATGTTCTGTTGCAGATAATGGGAAGCCTCCTACATTGGTGACCAGCATGATTGACTACAACATGCCAATCACCATGGCGTACATGAAGCACATGAAGCTGCAGCTGCTAAACTCACAGCAAGATGAGGTAAACCAGAAAGACCTGTGACTGCATCACCTATCACTATGGGTTTGAGCATGGTGCCAAGTGAAGGCTGTAATTTATATTGTTAATGAAAAGAAATGTCACCAGTACCTCACTGATTTCAAAAGGGTATAAAGGTGCCCCAGCCAGGACGCAGTATCCCTGGATGAGTCCATCTTCCTTAGTGCTGTGTGAGATAGATTCCTTTTTCTTACTAAATCACCACTGAGGCGGTCTTGGCAAAGAGTGACAAATCGTGAGTATCCTTACCCAGAAAGCAGCCAAGGACGGAGAACCTCTGAACCTGTCTTCTGTGAGAAACTGAAAAATCAATTTAAGATCATTTCCAGTTCAATCATGTCCCTCTCAGCCACATCTCTATAGTAGTCATTTTTTCCTATGAATTATTATTTAATAATGTTGTGTTTAAACATCTGCATTTTTTCAGAGAGAAATTGTCACAATTCTTTTTATTACAGACATTTTCATGTTTCAGATTATTATATTCCATTTGAATCTAGCAATATACTGTCATATATCAGACTCCAAATTTGTATTTATTGGTAGTCTCTAGAATTCTAGTTCTTATTTTAATAAAAGAATTTGTGTTTGTGAGGGGGGAGAGATTGCATGTGTGTTGTGTGTATGTTTGTATATATGTACATGTGTGTTTATGTGTGTATATGAGTTTGTGTGTATATCACTGTGTTTTGGGGTTTGCATGTTTGTCTGGGTATGTCTTTGTGTGTGCCTGTGTATGAATGTATGTGTGTTTGTCTGTGTATCTATGTGTGAGTGTGTGTGTATTTTTCATAAATAAGCAAAGGTAATCAGCACACTGTATGAATTTAGTTAATCCTCATTAACTAGTTGTTGTAGGGGGAGGACCACTTGTTTGTCCTGGATAGCTGGCTAGCTTACACCCGAAATAACCACACAGAAATTGTATTAATTAAAACACTACTTGGCCATTAGCTCTAACTTCTTATTGTATTGGCTAACTCTCACATCTTGATTTAATCCATTTCTATTAATCTGTATATCGCCATGTGGCAGTGGCTTACCAGGGAAAGAGTCTGACCAGTCTTTGGTGGATCCATTGTGTCTCTTCTCTTCCCTTCTTCCTCCCAGCATTCAGTTCTGTTTTCTCTGCCCACCTAAGTTCTGCCCTATCATCTAGGCCAAGGCAGTTTCTTTATTCATTAACCAATATAAGCAAACACACAAACAGAAGGACCTCCTACACCAACTAGTCATCACCTCTGACAAGCAGAAACATTCAGATTGTCTATGTTGGAAACAGACCTTCAGGCTAATAAATTCCCTCCTTGAACATTCCCTGTCAAAGGAAATGTGGTTAAATATTTACTTTAAAAATACTAGATTATAAAGTAAACATTTAGTCAAGCTTATTATTGTTAATAATAATTATTATTACCATTAAAATACTAGATTATTTGTAAAATAAGACCTATTAAAATTACTTTGGGGCTCTTTTATTCATAAAATTTAATCTGTCTTTTTGTTTTTCACTGTACTTGATAAAGTTTTTCTTGAAACTATAGCATTATTTTTCCTCCATATAGTTGTGGTTCACTCTCTAAGAATATCTCTGAAGTTGACATATTGCATTAAATATTACCAAATGGCCAACAATAAATGATTGAATTAACCATAATAATGCCATTATACTAAAGACCTCAAACTCAGATTTTCAAAATGTGTCTCTTATGTCTGTTAATAAGAATGAAACAACTGACACCATGGTCATTACAGAGTTGAAAAAAATAACGTTTCATAGAAATGCTACAGTTGCCAAATTATTTGTAGGAAGCTAATATGGAGGTCAATAAGCTTATTTCTGTGCTCCAATTATGATCAGCTTTGTGCCAACCTCAGCCCACATATTCTGAGTCCTTCTGACTGTAAAACATAATACATGTTTGAACTAAAAAGCAGAGCATTTAAATTATAATTAGGGAAATTATCCTTATGACAGTTTGAGATTATTAAATTGAATGCATACTGTTTTAAAATAGTCAAAGAAATTACTTGTTATTAGAGTATTTACCAAATTTTAGAAAACTATAACTACCACAGATTTGAAAAACTGAATAAGATAAGCCAGCCATACTGAACTGAACCTCAAACAAGGTAATCTTGATTGTAATCTGTTTTTAAATTTTAATAAGAATTAATCCATTAATTTTACCCGTATTTACTGAGTACCTTTTAGGTACTCTTAGAAATCAATGAACAAAAATTTTGTATTTATGAAGCATGTCTTCCAGTGTGAGCAAAAGACAATAAGGAAAATAAACAATAAGACTAGGCAAGTAAAACGATGTTTAAACTGTAAAAGAAGAAAGAAGAAAGGAAGCTCAAAAAGAAATCTATTCAGAATGCAAATCAGTAGTGCAGAACTCATCTCCTCCTGTTTTTGAGGTCCTGGGTTCAATGACAAGTACCCCAAAAGTGAACAAATGAATGATCAAATGAATAAAGAGATTGCATCATTTGAGCAAAATTGAAAGAAATGACATGTGTTGTTAGTTATATTATATTGCTGTCATAGACATCATGGCCAAGGCAACTTATAGAAAGCTCTTTTTTGCTTATAGTTTCAGAATCTATGATGGCTGAGTGAGTAAAGGAGTGGGCAGTAAGTTGAGGGCTTTCCTCTTTAACTGCAAGCTCCAAGCAGAGTGCAGTAGGAATGGCATGTAGCTTTGAAACCTGAAACTTTGCCACCAATTACATACTTCCACTAGCTAAATTATACATCCTAAGTCTACCTGGCCAGTACCACCAAAGGGGAGCTATGTATTCAAACTTTCTGATTCCAGCCAATATAATCTGGTTCTTGGCCCATAGGCCCATAGGCTCATGTTCATTCATATAGCAATATAGGATGCTTCTAGTCTAACACCAAAAATTTCCCAAAGTTTTTTAGTCTCAAAACTGTTTAAAAGCCCAAAGTCTGTTCTGAGACTCAAGGCAATCTCTTAACTGTAAGCTTCTGTAAAATAAAATAAAAAGTCTAATACCTCAATGGTGGGCTA